ACTGTCATTGATACTTTTGGTGCTTTGTTTTTATTAATTTGATTCTTTTGCGCTCCCAGAGGACTCACATGAATTGTCCTTCAATAGACTTTTGTTCATGAACGTCACGCTATCGGGAAAGCCTTGTTTTAACCCCACTTAATATTGAGGAAACTGAAGTATTGTACCTGTTTATAGATTCAGGTGAGTATCCGAAGAAGTGTGCCTGCATACGAAAGCTTATGCCTTGAATAACATTTTGTTGGTCGTAAAGGTGCCACTGGACTCAAACTTTGTACCTGTTTTATATTAGTTTCGTTTCGGCTATCGCTCTGCAGCAAAGCGCTCATACGTTATGCCCTTTTAGCCTAACCAAAAACTGCATCACACTCAAACCCGCACCAGGTGTCGCCGCAGGTTCCCTGACGCAGACGCGGCCACGCAAATCACGGCCACTAGTCTCGCGAATTTTCCCGGTTTCGGAGCTCTCGCGCGAGCCCAGTTCTCGTATAATCTCGCGTCGTTTAGTAATTCCGGCCTCTTTGGTTCCCGGCGCGGTACAATGGCGGTCGGCAAGAACAAGCGCCTCACGAAAGGAGGCAAGAAAGGCGCTAAGAAAAAAGTGTAAGTGTGGCTAAGCGGCAGCGCTGGGGTAAGAGGAACGGTACTCGGTGGGAGCCGTGGTCTGGGAATGTGGGATGCCGCCGATGTCGGATGGATTGCAGACGGGGTAGGGGAGCGATGGAAAGGAAGCAACGCTGACATGGCGGGCGTCGAGAAACGGAGGCTAGTGGGTGCCAAAAGGCGCACGAGCGGCTCCCCATGTGAAACAGGGGTTGCGCCTGTTTCTGGAAATGGAATGGACGGGCTTGCAGAGGAAAAGAAGGCTGGTCGCATTCAGATCTCTGCCTGTTGTCTCGCCTCCTTTTGTAGAAATTTTGGGTGCAAGTCCATTTTTACGCACGTGTCTGGGTAAAGTATTCAGTCGCCAGGGGATAGGAGACAGTCACTTGGTAAGTCGGAGTGCTATTACTAGGATAGCCGCAGCCCAAGTGAATGCAGTGACTGCGGCTGGGGTTGATATTCAGACTTTCTTAATGACAAATGAAGTAAGAATAAGAACAGACCATCATGCGTGTTCAGGAAGTATCTGAATTGTAGGCATTGTTGTGGATAATGTTAAGAAGAAAGTATTGCTGGTTACTGTAAAGTGGTACTTGGGCCAACCCAACCAGAGTTTCTGTGTTTCTTGCTGTACTGTACTGGTAAAGATGAGAGGAAGTGGTTCTGGTTTTGCACATGGGAAGCTCGAACACTGAATCCAGTCCATGCATTTAATCTGTATTAATGATAGTTTATATGAATAACACTACAGATCAGGATGAAGAACAAGCTTACAAGCCTTGTGTAAGTAAATGAAATAAGGATTGTAAATATATGTTCTAAAAATATTGGATCTGCTTTTGTTGGTTAGTGAGAAAGTTGCAGTGCTTTAAGTCATACTTTGGGATTTACACTAGGAAAGAGAACCAGTATAAGAGTGTTTTCTTCCTTCTTCTCCCAATCAGGGTTGATCCCTTTTCAAAGAAGGACTGGTATGATGTCAAGGCACCAGCAATGTTCAATATTCGAAACATTGGCAAGACACTGGTCACCAGGACCCAGGGAACAAGTAGGTCATATTGTTAAATATTTAATTTCCATCTGTCTTGAGTTACCATTCTAAGGTCTGCAACATGAAAACATGATTTTGTGAGTGTGTGTGCATGCATTAAAGTTCATGGCAATAGGTATAGGATACACCAGAAGAGCCCCTTGTTTATCCAAAGAGTAACTAAATTGTGGAATTCACTGCCTGTGGAGGTAGACATGGCCACAAGCATAGATGACTTTAATCAGGGTTATTAATAGTTATTTAGAGAAGTAAAACTGTAATCAAAATATACATATGTATAGGTACACTGTCTAAATCCATTTAATAGCTGAAGAATGGTGTAATTCTGCTTAGAATTGTACAGTCTATTATGCTATGCACACTTACTTGGAAGTAAATCTCAGTAAATACTGTGTCATGATCACTAGATGTTTACTCAGTATTATCAGTGAGCACTTTAGAGTTTGCCCATAATGCATTAATACAGTTCTGTATTTGTAGAAATTGCCTCCGATGGACTTAAGGGCCGTGTATTTGAAGTAAGTCTTGCTGACCTACAGAATGATGAAGTTGCCTTCCGCAAATTCAAACTGATCACAGAGGATGTGCAAGGAAAGAACTGCCTGACAAATTTCCATGGCATGGATCTCACACGTGACAAAATGTGCTCAATGGTCAAAAAGTGGCAGGTTAGTAATATTTTAGGTATTAAATGTACTAAGCTGTAAAACTAACTTGATGCTTATAAAGGGAACAGTGAGTTGTAACTCCTATTTTCCAGACAATGATTGAAGCCCATGTTGATGTCAAAACCACTGATGGGTATCTTCTACGCCTTTTCTGTGTTGGCTTCACCAAGAAGCGAAACAACCAGATTCGCAAGACTTCCTATGCCCAGCATCAGCAGGTCCGCCAGATTCGGAAGAAAATGGTGGAAATCATGACACGAGAAGTACAAACAAATGACCTGAAAGAAGTTGTCAGTAAGCTGTATGTTGAGTTTTGTCCCTAATCTTCAAGAAGGCTGTTTTCATTCAATATTAATTTGTTTCCATAAGCAGTTTATACAAATATAACAGTAACATTTTCAGATTAATTTTTAATTTGATGAAATGGAGTCACCTTTATATTACTGTAATTTTTTTTAGAAACACATTGTTGCTAGCCGTATGAGCCATCTCAATTTGAGATAGACCAATATAGATCTAAATATTTTCTGTTGTATGTAGCAGTGACTAACACGAGAACTGTCCTTAAGATTTTAGCTTCATTACCAAAGTAAGGACTAAACTTAGAATTTACACAGTTGGTTATAATTATTAGTAAGAGCTGCTCTGTCTTCCAGTTGTAGTTATTAAGTTATTGTTATAAGCACTGTTTTTAGGGATGTTGTATCATTTATGCTCAGATGGTTATGTCACAGTTTAAGGTGGTGGCAGAAAAAAGTTCAAGAAGCTTCCAGGGAGGATGACCATGGATCTCTGGATGCCATGTGATGTTTTACAGTTGCCAAAAATCTTTGTTTAGGTTTCTCCTGCCAGTCAGGTTCTTCCCTATCCAATAGTCTCTACAATCCTGATAAATTTCCATCTAGTTCACCCCATTGTACCCTTGGGTAGATTGTTGGAGTAACTTTTGTTTCACTTCATTGAATTACATCAGTTATCTGTGGGTATCTCTGGTTCAGCTCTGAAATGTGCACCATAAATGTGCCCAAGTTGCTTTCTTCACCTCATTTTGCAAGTACATTTTAACATGGCTGACTGGGAGCACTGTAACTAAACCTGACCTTGGCTCCGACCGCAATTCAGGGTCCTAATTGCCATCCTTTCTGACTGTAGTTGGGTGAAGCCGCTTTTATGCGCAAGGGTAAAGGGTATGATACATATGGTGGCACTTCCACAGATGGCTGTCGAAAGCAGTATGGTGTGCTAGCTTTTCAGAGTTCAGTGGAATATATTGTTGCTTGCTAGTATTGCGTTTATGGATCCGAGGATACTAATTGATGAACTGTTCACTTTTACCATCCTAGGATCCCAGACAGCATTGGTAAAGACATAGAGAAAGCATGTCAGTCAATCTATCCCCTTCATGATGTCTATGTTCGGAAAGTCAAGATGCTTAAGAAGCCCAAATTTGAATGTAAGCATACCTGTGTCTGTCGAAATAGTATTCTGTATTTTATTTAATGTGGGAATGAATGATGACAACGTGTTTCGGTCCCATATGAAATAATGATTAGTTCTTCTCCCAATGCTGACATTCCCATAAAACTAAGAGTGAAACTTCTCAATGGTTTTGGAAAGATTTGCTATAAATAATCTTTCAAAGTAATCACACTTTCGTTTTTACTTATGCCAATAGTCTACGTTAACAATGTGATCTATTTATTTATACTGTCGCCTTATTATTATTTGTAGTGGGCAAGTTGATGGAGCTGCATGGTGAAGGTGGTGGTGCTGGCAAGCCATCAGGTGATGAAACGGGTGCAAAAGTGGAACGAGCTGATGGGTATGAGCCCCCTGTGCAAGAGTCTGTCTAAAGCTGGATACAAAAATAAAAGATTTAATATAAACGAAATATGGTTATGTGCTTTTGTAAGTAACACAGAATGGTATTTGCAATTCATATTTAAGCCAGGGGTTCTCAAAACTGGGTTGGGATCCCAGTTAGATTGTGACTCTGGGATCATGAGGCCAGGATGAACAACATGAGGTGGGAATCTAAGTGACAAATTTGGGCTGGCTTCTGCATGAATTATGTTGGGAAGGGAGAAAGTGCTGTGTGACGTTAGCAAATGCATTTTAGTTTAGAAGTAGGTCCAAGAAGTACAGTAAGTCTAGAAGTGTGTCACATTCACTAATTTAAACTGCTTTGCTACGAGCCTGCTGCTTAGTTTTAACTTTTAAAAATAACCGTAGTTCTCTTATGTTTCAATGGAGTTTTGTTCAGTAACTACTGTTGTCCAGTATCATGCAGCTGAAATGGACCTCAAAATCATCTGAGAAAGTTCAGCGTGAATGCAAGTTTCCATTTGACATGGATGGCTGTTGAACAAGACTGTTCAAGTAAAATGCTTTGGTATTACTTTGCAGATGATAACTTTAGTTGGTGCATTGACTAATATTTTACGAATTGGTGCTCCTTAATACCAGTTTCTGCAGTTCTTGTTTTAAGCAGTTGCATCTGCTGTGGTATTTAGATTTGGAAATTCAGGATTGGAAAGCTCTAGAAAATGTCACACATTATCCATCTGTCATTTCTGAATATGTAGCAATAGACACAGTTGAATTTGACATTGTAGATTTTATATCATGCACTGCTTAAAAATGAATCAGTTTCAGTTTTCAGACAAATAGATGTTTATTGGTTAAATACAAACTTACTGGTATTGTAGAACAGTGTAAAATTATAATTTCTAGAAAAGCAAAATAGTTGCACAAATTTCTCATTGATGGGCAGATTATTCTATAAGTAAAAAAACCGGGTTCAGAAAAGTAAATATGATAATGTGTCAGATTTTTCACCACCACGTCCCTGCTGTAGCTCCTGAAACACCATGGGGGAGGGGATACTTTTGGTGAACTCGCATGATTTGATAAGGGAAATGGAGCTGCATTTTCTCTCCCTTAGCACCCTCCCTCCAACCTCTGCCAGGTTTTTCCATTTCCTTACGCATCTTGCAGTATTTTCCCCCTCTCATAGCAAGGTGGAAAAGTAATAGTTTTCTGGATCTAAGCTACTGCATGGAACATAACGTTTCTGTCATTAAAACACTCTATTCAAGATTTCATAATGATAATTTATAAATTTAGAGGAATATGCTAATAGAATTATCTTTATATTCAAAGCCCTGCGTCAACTAGTTAAATGCATTTAAATACTGAGTCTTTTCAAGTTTAGCCCACATTTAATACAACTGCATTAAGAGTCCTTTAGATGGCACTGTTGGAGCGAAGTTACTGCATCTGTCAGTCCTGGTGTACACATCTGAGAATATTTGGGTTGCTCAACCAGATGCTTATTTAAATGTATGAAATGCTAATGGATGTAATATTTATCCATATTGTCTAACTTACAATACTAATTAATGCTTATTCATTAACAAGGCTAAACAATAATTCCCCACTGCCTGTAAATGTCTAAATCACTACTTGCTCAACGTACTTTTATGAACACATTAGAGAAATACAGTCAACAAATACGTAAACATTGCACTGCTTGGAATAGCTGAACTTTCGTAACGTGTGCCAATACCTTTTTCAAAATGCAGACAAAAGTATGTGTTGGTGTATAGAAAACAGGAAAAATCTTAAGGCTGTGATTCAGCAACCAACATTTTTTGTAGTGCAAGCTGGTAGCTGTTGCAGGGGCTACTTAAAGCCTCTGTTAAGGCCACAGAAAATTATACAAAGTACAAAAGCATCTTGCACATCTGAAAGCTGAAGGACGAGGCTGGAAACCGCTGCAGAGCCTTTACATTTCTGCAGAGAGTAATCCCAAACTTCAGCCCATGCACATTTTGCACTATAACATATTGGCCTTCATACACAGACAAAAAAACAAGTGGGCAAGTATGTATACAAAGGCACTGATCAGTAACATTTTCATGAAGACCCAAGTGTCCAGAAAGAAGTGTTTCTTGCTGGTAGACAGGTCAGTGTATTTCCTGTCTTGTTTTTGGTGATGCAGCTCAGTCCTGTTAGGCTTATATCAAAACATAGGCTTGAATCCAGTGATGGGCAAGCAGAAATAAAAGAACGAGTTCTACATGTGCAAGATCTTGTGTAGCACCTAGCACTTTCCTCATCTATTCATAAATCAGTTGCGCAAGATCTTGCACAAACAGAAGTGTGCAAGTGGAGATACAGTAAGCTTGATCTAGTGCATGTGATGTCAGTGGTGTCTGACACTTAACTTGTGCGGGAGCTCTGCTACAGGTGGAAATTCTGCACTGGATTCAACCAGTAGCGAGACAGAGTACCTAAAATAGGTGTTAGTGTTATGTGCAATAAAGTGCTTCGTTGTCCTGTATCTCCAGGATTACTTTGAGTTCTGTTCAGATACTTTCCTGTGATTTGCATATGGCTCAGCTGGATGGAAGATACTATGATCTCTACTATTTTGTCATCTGCTTATCTCTTTAGGAGAAAAGGTCTGTTTCTATACTGCCCGTTATTGGAAAGATACTGAACTGTAGTTTTGGCCCATATCTGTTGTTTTTTTAAACCAAGCCGATTTTGAAGAAAGTGAAGTGGCTATAAATAGTAGCAACTGGGCAGTTCTTCCTAAGAAGTTTGGATCTGTACTTTAGCCCCAAAAAAAAGAGTTGCTGCTGATTTTGCAGACAGTTATTGGCATTTCTGAGTAAAAGGAACAGTTATCTCCATGTTTAGCAGGAGACACTGGGCACAACATTAGGGTTTTTATCCTGGGAAACAGGATGCTGGGTCTGATACAACAGGGTTCCCTTTATGAATCTTATAAGTAGTGAGGCAAATTTTAAAAAGTTTTTCACCTTGTTCAAAGCAGAGTTACTATTGCATGGACGTACTGCTTTATCTGTGCACTAACGATTATATTGCCAGCTTAAGGGAAGTAGCATGTGGCTAGCTACATATTAGCATTATTGCATCTTAGTCTCTGGTATTTAGATTAGAAACCTTTTTATAATTAATGCTCTGATATGGTTTTATCTATGCTCAAATCAGATTTGTTAAAAAAAAACAGAACTAAAGACTTCTTATAAAACCAGCTCCCACATTGGAACTGAATGCTGCAGAAGGTCAATTTACATTCAGAACTTTCCCCAGTAGTAGTGATAGTTCCTGGTCTTTGTAAGTTAAACTCTTGAATTTGAGAGACCCAAAGAAATAAAATCTGTTTAGAGAAAGTGAGGCAAACAGATACTACAATACAAATTGCAATTGTGTTCAGTTCATACCATAATGATAAATGGTGTTGATTGCGTCTTCCCATTCTCATAACAAATGTCTGAGGTTTTCATGAAATTCTAATGCTATGTATCCTTCAACAGCTTGATAAAAAGTTAGATGAACAGACACTGCAGAACTTCTGTAACAATTGTTAGGTAACTGAATTGGTTATCTGGGAAGCTGTGAGTTTGTTGAAAAAGATTAATATACAACTTCTTCAGGAGTTTGTTGAAAAAGATTAATATACAACTGAGGCCTAGCACATACATGCAGTAAAATGAGGTAGTAGGATGGACTCCGGGTGGTAGATTTCAGTTTTAAATGTTCCTTTCTCTTGCTTTTGCTTGCTGCACTGATTTCAAAGGGGCAAAGCAGGGAAGGAAATGATCCTGCATGTGCAGTTTAAAGTAGTGCTGTCTGTTCTGTCACCTGCTCTTGCCTATGTGGACTGGATCTCTGGCAAGGGAATCCTGCTCTTTCAGGAAACTAAAAATAATGCCTTAAACCCACTTAGGCATTATTTCAAGCACAATTAGTCTGCCTCACAGTTGAGTGCAGCTACATATTCACATTGGGAATGAAGAGATGAATGAGAGCTGCATTTGACTACTCACTGTATTTTAGAAAAACTTGGATGACCTACTTTATCGTTCCAAGTAGCAGAATCTGGTACAATACATAAGTGGGGCTTCTAACAAGTTAATTAGAAACAGATTTTGTATAATCTTGTATATGTTTATAAAAATAGTGCAAAAATACATTTGATAGTCAAAGATTAGACCTAGTGATCACAGATGTCAGACTCTGCAGTCTGAACTATCATGGTCTTTTGAGTTGGAAAACTGTTCACTTGTATAGCCAGCCTCCTAAGAATTGGATTTCAGCTTCAGAATTATTGTAAAATCTGAACAAAGTTTTTAGGGAATATTCCAGACTTTCCATGTAATTCTCCACTCATCCAGTCTTCACCTACAGATTCTAGGTCGGTAATCATATCACCAGCCTGTTAAAAAAAGTAAATCAAGTCAAGTCAGCCTTTATTGGCATAAAATATCAGTACCATTTATACATTAAAAAAAAAAGTAAATAAACTGTCACACCACTGGTACTTGTTTTCAGCTCAGTCGTACATTCTTTAGTATGTTGTTCATAATACAATATTGGGGGGCCAATGGAAATGAAGACTCAGCAAAAAGTCACCCTCTGAAATTGAAATTAGGCAGTGATGAGTTCATGGAGGTGTTAAAATCACACGTGGGTGCTAATGGATCGTGTCAGCAATTAGAAATTGCTGTATTTTATGTATTTTGAGTTTGCTGGCCATGCAGTCATGCCTAAACTTTGATAGCTTCCAGAAAGGACTTCAGATGTTACTGCAGTGAAATTCTACTCTTGGCATAGTCATTCAGTTTCTTTACAACTGAAGAAGGGATGCAGGCTAAAACACATCTCCTGTATCATGGCTAAACTCACTTTGAAGGAGAGTTCATCTACATTCTCTGCTTGGAAGTCATGCAGGGCCTGGCATCTTCTCTTCCAAGGTGCAGGTTTTGGTCCTTCTGTAGAACATGATTGTATTGCAATTCAGTTGCCACTTCGGGAACGAAAGAATAATTTTGCCAAAAACACAAAAATCAAACTGTCCTTTGACAATTATCAAATAAAGTAGAAACCTGTGTGCATAAGTTCATCACTGTTTAAAGAAGGGGTGGGGGAGATCAAGATGAGGTAGCTGGCTTGTGTATGGTTTTCAAGACAGTGACGCAGACAAAAATAGTGTTGGGATTTGGCTATATGCCAATGGCATCAGAGAAAAATGTACATTCCTGGTATGGTGTGAAAGTAACACAACAAGATGTGGCAGAGAAAAATGCATACAATGTGTGTCATACAGGGAGGGTAATATAAGTGGTCTGGGTACCAAAGAAACTGAAAACTGCTAACAACGGTCCATCTAATATCAAGATAAATGATGTCTCCAAGTAAATATTTTACCATTTAAAGCACTGTGTGTTCGAGATAGCAAGTTATGTAGGTTAAAACTGCTTTTTTGTTTAGGAATATAATCAAGCCTGTTTTCCAGGTTAATTTATTCTCAGAATTGATGACATATGCAGTAACCAGCTGCCAACCAGTTTAGGTCCTTTCTAATCTGGTTTTAGAACTGGTTGAACTGAAACAGCCTTGGTCACCTTGGGAGATAGAAACAGGGAGTGCCATAGCCCCCATTCCATGCCTCTCTCTAATTGTTGTATCTTTTACCAATTTACCATGTCCCTCAGGTGGAGAGTTCTGTATCACCTCAACAGTCAATACCCTCCTTTTTATATTGCTTAATATTAGGATCACAGTCTTCTTTAGGTATGTGAGATTAAGTGGATTTGTTTTATTTAGTGTGTCTACATTGACACGTACACAGGATTAGTCACTCTTGAAATACAGAGCACATTAACTACAAATCCAGACCCCTTTTCCTTGGGTCCTATAGAGTGTATAGTGGGTAATCTGGGTTGAGGTTGATATGGGAGTCATATATAATGAAACAAATATTTTATTTGGTGGGTGTTATGTTCGATTCCTTCCCACACCAGCCTCCTAGCTGATGCAGTATCAGAGCTGGGAGATCCTTAAGAGTTAATGTTATTTCTTTCAGTGGCTTTTAACAAAGACAAAAACCTTGAACAATTTCACTGTTTTTATCTGGGACCAGCACCCAAATTCTGCCTGTAAAAATTAATCACTATGGTCCCGAGTTCCTCCCTGGTCCAGGATACCTCCTGTCCCTTTTCCCTTCAAAATCCAACTGCCCTTTTTGTCCACTGACTGTTGGCAGTTACTTGCTAAGGGTACTCTCCCCCCTCCTTTACTTCAGAGTTCCATTTGTATTTTGAAACAGTGGTCTGCTCTGAGATCAGGGTTGGCTTGTTCATTACAGGGAGTGTGACTATTAATTCTCCTGGATCTCTCAGACCTTTAGTACCCTCAGTTATGGTATATCCTCCTGGACAGACCTTTCTAAGGGGATTGGGAAGCACCATTTTGCTGTGGTTTCAGTCCTACCTGGCTGATAGGTTATAGGTGATACTTGAGGACTGGCTGCACAGACCTTTGGGGTCTCACAAGGTTCCATCTTGTCCCCATGCTCTTAATGACTATATGAAACCGCTGGTTGAGGTCATCTGGAGATTTGGGCTGGGTTATCACCAATATGCAGATGACACTCGGTTCTATCTTGTACTTCTGGCTGATCCCAGAGAGACCAATGCCTGGTGGCAGGCTAATAAACTGAAGCTCAACCCTTACAAGACTGTAGTGCTACTGGTTAAGTTTTGACCCAGGCTTTTAAGGTGTTCTACCCTTAAAATGGCCAGAACAGGTGATATCTGGATATTGATTCACAAAGTGTAATGGCAGAATTTACAAAGGATCACACATCTTCAGACCTTTTCTGTTGTTTTGCAAGTCCACAAATTTCCAAACAGGCTGCTTTATTATGCCTGAAGTGCACAACCACTCTAACAGATGCCACAAAGGCTTGTACATGCAGTGCAACTGCTTTTCAGACACTTATCTACTCAGTCCAGTAGTACATGTGTCACTTCTGCCCCAACACAAGCATATACATGCTTCCATATCTCTCTCCAACCATTATGCAAATTGCTCTCATCACTGCATGCTTGGTATGAATACAGGAAACATTGAACTCTCATTCCTTGCAATGCTCCTATTGCCTGCCTGTATCAGTGTGTTCCCAGTTAGGAATGTGCAAAAATGAAAAGGTATTTTTTGGGTTTGGATATACCGAACCTGAAAAATATTGGTATTTCCTGATATTCATGAATCCCAATACTGGTATGGTATTCACATTTGTGAAATATTTGGGAAACCTGAATTTTATTGGTTACCATTACCATAGGGTACAATGGAGAATCAATTTGAGTTCTGAGGGAGCTGTTTTTTTGTGATGGAGACAGCAAATTTGCACCATAGCTGCTGGTGCCTCACCTCAAAAAATCCCCCAAGTTTTAAAAAGATTGGACCTGGGGTTCTAATTCTATGGGCCCCCAAAGAAGGTGCTCCCATCCTCCATTACTTTCAATGGAGGAGAAAAAAGCTATGAGTTCACTCACCAAGTTGTGCTGCCGCCACCATGGTAACAGTGTGACTCAGCAAGTGAAAGGCCATTTAAATGCCTTTTCCAAGCAGTGCTGCAGCATGACTTAGCAAGTGAACTCAGAGTTCACTTCTCATAGTTGCACCCGAATAAAAGCCAAATCTTTATCAGCTTTTATTTGGGCTCAGCTATATTGGTAGCCGAAAAGAAACTCTAATGGCTTTTTGGCTTAAAAAACTTTGAAAATTTTTTTTGTTGGTTTGGGTAAACCGAACACACACCCCTAGTCTCCACTAAGCGAATTGACAGGAAAACAAAGCTCTACTGATTACTGTGAGACTTATCTCCATGGAGGCTTTGACTCCCAAGTCAAACGATGGTCTAGTGGTTCGCCTAAAATGAGCAAGGTTAGAAAATTACCAAACTAACATTCTAAATATGTAGACTTCTGAGTTATTATTTAAACAAAACCACTCCAAATAAGAATCCTGCATATTTTATATATGTCTAACTACTTTAAAGGAGCTGCGGTGGCTCAAGTGGTTAAGACGCTGAACTGCAGGCTGTGGAAGGTCGGTAGTTCAGCAGTTCAAGACCTGAGTTGCCGCATGACGGAGTGAGTTCCTGTCTCTAGTTCTAGCTCCTGCCAACCTAGCAGTTCGAAAGCAAGAAATTGCAAGTAGATAAATAGGTACCACTTCGGTGGGAAGGTAACAGTGTTCCGTGCGCCTTGGTGTTTAGTCATGCCGGCCACATGACCATGGAAACGTCTTCGGACAGCGCTGGCTCTTCGGCTTTGAAACGGAGATGAGCACCGCAACCCTAGAGTTGGACTTAACTGGCTTTTGAGCAAGGGAACCTTTACCTTTAACTACTTTAATAAACAGATGGGCAAAGATGCATGCTATGAAAAGCCACAGTATGACTGAACTGTCAGAACACCCTCAAACTAAGTGTGATGGGATGACCAAGAGTCAGGTAAGACCTGCTTTTTGTGAAAAATCTTACAGGAAATTGATGGAATCATAAAGAAGCATGATGCTAAGAAGCAAACATCAACTGTTACTAAATTGATTAAATTTGCACTTCCAAAGTTGGGATACAGAGACTTGTACCATTTCAGAATAGAGTCCTTTGTCACATGTAAACTTTCCACTTTCAGAGAGATTTTTTTATTCTGGCACTTTCAAAAGGTTACATGGACCCACAAGTCCTGTACCACATACTCTTCATTACTATATGACTCTGCTTATAGCATACTAGAGTATATTACAGCTTCTATAGTCTTATGCATGTATATACAGAATGCTCCTTCAGACTGTACCTGCGCAAACATGTACAAAATTGGCAGGAAAAATTCCTTCTTTCCCATTTAGTCTCCCTTTGTACCATTCTGAGTCCACGCGCTCCAGTATCAAGATGTGATCTCCCCTTTTAAAGGATAAGTCTTCATTGGTTTCTGCTGTGAAATCATAGAGCGCATCACACCACTTTCCGGAATGCTGTTCCAACTGTGAAATTAAAAGGGAGATGAAAAAAGTATCTTGGGGTCGTAGTAAACAGTTCAATGAAAGTGTCAACCCAGTGTGCTGCAGTGATGAAAAAAGTGAACTCTCTGTTAAGGATCATTAGGAAAGGGATTTGAAATAAAACAGCTGTATAGACCTGTGGTGCAGCCTCATTTGGAATACTCTGCACCGTTCTGTTCACTGTATCTCAAAAAAGACATCACAGAGCTGGGAAAAGGACAGGAAAGGGCAACCAAGGTGATGAGGGGGTTGGAGTACCTTCCCTATGAAGTCTGGAACTTTTCAGTTCAGAAAAGAGATGACTTAAGTGTGGGGGGAGAATATTAGAGGCCTACAAAATTATGCACTGTGTGGAGAAATTTGACAAAGAGAAATTTTTCTTCCTCTCCCAAAACACTAGAATTCAAGGGCATCCAATGAAGCTGATGGGCAGTAGATTCAGGACAGACAAAGGAAATACTTCTTCACAAAGAGTGATTAAAATGTGGAATTTGCTGCCAGAGGATGTAGTGATGACTTTAAAGGGGGATTGATAGACTTATGGAGGAAAGCTAAATCAGTGGCTACTAGCCATGGCGACTAAAGGGAACCTCCATGTTCAGAGGCAGTAAACCTCTGAAGACCAGTGCCAGCAGTCAACATCGGGAAGCCCTTGGTCCATATGCCCTGTTGTTGGACCTCCAGAGGAATTTGTTGGCCACTGTGTGAGACAAAATATTGGACTAGATGGACCACTGGTCTGATCCAACAGGACTATTCTTATGTTCTTATGCTTGTTGAGTAAGCTTGAATGTGGCTATGGAAGGAGGGAGGATAAGGTTCTTCTTTAAACAAATCAAAGAGGTATGAAAAAAATCCCTATTTTAAAAAAAGAAATCAATGGCTATATCTAAAAAAGCATATTTTGGAAAAGGAAATTCCTCTTGCCATAACACTATAAATTGCCTTTTGCACAAACGGCACTTCCAATTGTGCAAGCTTTCCACCACCTCTCCTTCAACTACTGATCCCTCAACACTTCCTGAGGGTCTGCTGACCTCAGGAACTGTATATTAATGAGCACTGCAGGGAGGAGTTGCCCTTCAGAATGTTTCAGGAACATACTTCAAAAGTAGAATGCTTCACAGCATTGTAACTCTCTCCAATACTAAGTAGCCTACCTGTGTCAATGAAGCACAATTCCCTTTCTCATTCTTCAGTGATGCTCCACCATCTTTATAAAAGAAAGAGAAAACAAATTTAATGCCACTGGTACTAATAAACTTGAGTATTTTTTATCTCTGATTCCCAACTAGTGTGGAAAGAAAATAATTGTGGAACAAGGTTATAGACTTTGTTTATGTCAGCAAAGTTAAGCTACCATGGATAGTTGTCTAGCGTGTGTTTACAACCATGCAATGTTGTCGAACAACCATGTATTTGCCCCATATGTGGTTAAATAAGCATATAGCTCTGGTAGATTTGCCTGTGACAATAATATGACATGCCATTAGGGTTTGTTATCTATATATCTAATTCTCAACAGTCCCCTCTCTGTGCAGATACTTATTTCTGCAGATAGGGGGTACACTCTCTCCCAACAGGTTTTTCTACAGACTCGAGGGACTCCATGGGTTTCCAGAAAAATCCAAAAAGTAAAAAAAAAAACAACCAACAACCCACAGGGAGAGTTGAATCCCCCCCCCCAATACCTTTTGAAATGGTCACCACAGGGATCTACTCCAGGCCCCACCACATTGACAGAGAGACTTGTGACAGCCAGAGAAAGAGAGTGACAGACAGACCGGGAAGGAAGCAAAAAGGAGGACTGGATCTGGGATTGGGAAGGATTCCTCCTGCAGGCTAAATAGGAGGGAGTTTGAAGCCAGGCCTGGGACTAGGATTGCCCACTCCAGGTTGGGAAATTCCTGGAGATTCTGTGGTGAAGCCTGAGGAGTGCAGAGTTTGGGGAGGGCAGAGGCCTCTGCTGGATATAATGCCACAGAGCCCGCCCCTTTTCTCCAGGAGGACAGATCTCTGTTGTCTGGAGTTCTGTTGGAATTCTGGGGGATCTCTAAGTCCCATCTGGAGGCTGGCAAACCTAGGCCTAGCAGCACCCTCTGGGTGACTAGATACCATCTGACTTGCATGATTCAACTAGGCCAGGCTGCTTGCTGCTGTTCAATAGCAGCCACCCTATGGAAGTCAGTGTAGTATAATGGTCAGCGCTTCAGAGCAGGGTTTGCGAGACCCAAGTTTAGATCCCCATCTTGCTGTGGAAGCTCACTGGGTGATTTTGGACCAGTCACATACTTTCAGCCTAACCTACCTGATAGGGTTGTTGTGTGGATAAAAAGGAGAAGAGAATAATATAAACTGCCTTAGTCCCCATTGTGGAGAAAGACTATGGCTTTCCTCAGTAGAAGCTGCAGGCGGAAAAAACGCTGAAGACAGAGGGGCAGTTCAAGGTAGGTTGGCTGTGGGGTGGGAAGGAGAGAGGGATGCCAACTCTAGGTTGGGAAATTCCTGGATATTTGAGGGGTGAAGCCTGGGGATGGTGGGGATTGAGGCAGGGAGGGACTTCAAACAGATATAATGCCACCTTCCAAAGCAGTCATTTCCAGGGGAACATGTTTCCAACCTCCAGGCAAGGGCTGAAGATCTGGATGACAGAGATCAGTTCCTCTGGAGAAAATGGTTGCTTTGAAGGGTGGAGTTTATGGTATTATACTCTGCTGAGGTCGCCAAGCTGAAACCTCCCAAGGCTCCTCCCCTAAATCTCCAGGAATTCCCCAACATGGAGCTGGCAACCGTAAGAGGAACTGATCTTTATATTTGGGCAATCTGTTGTGATCCCTGGAGAGCAGCTGCTGCCACTGCTGGGGGAGGGGAGGGGGAGAAAGTAGGTGGGAGGCCAGGACAGTGACAGCAGCAGAAAGAGTGATGGGGGACAGAAAGGAAGTGAGGGGAGAGAGAGAGAGTAAGAAAAGGGGTGGCAGGAAGGAGAAAGAGAGTGAGAGAAGTAGGGGGACAGGGGAAGAAGCAGAGGTGGGGGGAATGTGATAGCCACTCCCGCAAGTTTCTTGCAGGTCCCCCCTTGTTTTGCACTAATGTACTTAGTAGTGGACATAGGGTTTTTTTGTTTTGTTTTGAGTTATAGCAAGTATTAGTATCAGGATATAAAATACACAAATGTTTGTTCTCACTAGATTTACACTGTGTGTTCATAGAAAGCTGGAGCTTTAAGTTTCTGCAGTGCGCACACACAGTGTTCATTTTAAATAGATTCAGGTGGGTAGCCATGTTGGTCTGAAGCAACAGAACAAAGTTGGAGTCTAGTGGCATGTTTAAGACCAACAGTTTTATTCTGGGTATAACTTTGTTGGTCTTAAAGGTGCCAATGGAGTCAAACATTGTTCTAATGTTCATTTTAGTTTCATATTTAGGTTATATTTGCAATAGACCAAACCACTTCACAATCTGTGAAACAGCCTCAAGAAGGTTTATGTACAAAAACCCACAGAAGTCTATGCTATATGATTCCTTTCAGCCTGTAGAGTTCATCAGTTCATTTTATTTTAATATTCATAAGAAAGCATCTTCCATTGTCAGGTTGTCTTGCTGGCTACATGAGTTCTGAGTACTTTGAGATCCACCAGTGAACTTTTGTATTTTTTACCTGGTGCTGGAAGATCTTCAATAACTTCAACGAAGTTCAAGGGGAAAATTCCAGAAGCACCTCTCAGCTCTCCTTTGGCCCATTCTTCATTGACATATTCCTTTAAAATAATAATTTCACCTTCTGAAAAGCTTAATTCGTCATTTTTGTCTCCAATGTATTCAAATCGAGATACACATCTAGGGCCTCTACAAAAACAAACAACAAAATAAAGAGCAACAGTTTTCTTTTTGAAATAGTTTCCAAATTTCTGTATCTCAGGCATCGTAACAGTTTATTTCTGTTGAATACCTCTGATGACTTACAATCATTGAAACTGAAAACTAATACAGTATCACAAAGCTTGACAGTTAAAAAAACATTGAAGACAAATATCAAGAGAAATCAGGCACGGAATGTATTGGATAATAAAACATTCTTAACCAGGCATCATAAAGAGTTGTTGCCATATACAGGTCTCCAGAAAGGTAGTTGCTAGGTGGGAGGTGCAACCACCGAAAAGGACTGGAACAAAACCTCTGAATTAGATCTTAAGAAATGAACAGGTTCATACGAGAGAAGTTGATTCAATTCCTGAGCAAAATGCTGGTGGGTGACATCACTAACCCAAACAAACAGCTTGCCTCCTTGCATTGGCAAAACCATCTTCCCCTCTATTTGCCATCAACTGGTAGAACTTTAGCAAGCACAAATGCAAACTGCTATTAGTAATATGTAGCTCAAGCCATTCTGTTGATGGTAAGGTAATCATAACATTCTGAAAAAAAGTAGGCAGTTTACAACTTCTGATTTTTTTTTACATGACCCTTGACACTGTTACATGACTTCCTAGAATTAGCATTAATTGGGTGGTATTTCAATCTGGGAAAGACTGAAGGTCAAAGATGGTTAGACAGTGTCAGATGCAACGAACATGAAATTGAGCCAACTTCAGAGGACGGCGGAAGACAGGAGGGCCTGGCGTAACCTGGTCCATGGGGTCGCGAAGAGTTGGACTCAACTGTGCGACTGAACAACAACAATGCAGAGACAAGTAGCAGACATTTCTGCAATCATAGTTTTACTTTCCCCAGATATTACAGTTCTGAGAATCCAGGCAGATATCTCAGGGTATGTTTCAATTCACACTAACATTTCTTCACACAGCTGCGTATGTGACTGCAGTGTATGTAAAAGATGTGGCGTTTACATGTGTAAACAGCATCTAATTAAAAAATGTTTTGCATTATGCAATGTAAGCTGGGATCCTATATGCACTTATGTTTAAGCCCCATGATCAGAATGATACTTCCGAGTAAATCTGCACAAGACTGGACGAATTAGGAAAGCAAAGTTCATGTCTATGGGAATTCAACCTGGCTTTTCTTTTATCTCAAAGGGCACAACAGCTCTTGTGAGCAGTTCTTGTACAGTTCAGGACAGAAAAACACAGGTTTTCTACTATCCATTTTGGCCACCAGAAGGTAGACTGAACCAAACAAAAAGGAATTTAAAGAGGGGGAAACCCTGCAGGAATACTCTGTGTTCTAACTAAGCTGCTGTTACAATAGTTTTAGCAATTATACTTGATAATTCTAGACGGTATCATCATAGCGTAACAAAAACAGTTTGCTTACCTGTAACTTGTTCTTTGAGTGGCCATCTGTGCATTCACACTGAGGTGCTTTGTGTCAGAGCAGACCTTTAATTCAGAAACTACGAGCTAGCTTTCATGCTTACAAAGTCCTCTCCCCTTAAAGACACAGATTGGACTTTGGAGTTGTACCATTGTGCTCAGTTACTTCAAAAAGAAAGAAAATGCTATAGCAAGTTAAAAGGATTTGCTTCAGGGAAGTGAAAGGGTCTTGTGAATGCACACATGACCACTTGAACAACAGGTGTTTTGTTTTTAATTTTTTATTGTTTCTGTACATCATACTGATGGGTGTAGACCTACCTGGAGGCAGGCAGGGAAGCATCAAGGTGAACAGAGTGCAGAGTACTGCCAAACTAAAGGAAAAGTCTGTTCTGACTCAGACATCAAAGGTGTAGTGCCTCCTGAAAGTAGAGGGCTGGGCTCACATGACACAAAGGCACAACGTGATTTGTAGACATCCACCTTGGCACAGCTCAGGTAGAGGAATCCCTCTGCTTATGGCCAAGGATGTGGCAACAACCCTGGTGGAATGAGCTCTGAGTATCCTGGCAATTCAAAAGACCTGGTGGATAGTTTCCCCCACATTCTGGAATACCTCTTTCAGGGTATCTGAAAGCAGTGCTCCAGAAGTATCCTCTAAACTTCCAGAATCTGTGTGTCCAAGTACAAGATCTTGTCATAATGTTGAGTCCAAAACATTGGGCAGACTGAAATATTAGCCCCTGAAGAGCTGGAGGTGCTTGCTGAACCAAAGTTATCTTGATCAGTATAGGTGGATTAGAATCCGATTCATGGAGTCCCTGCCTATCCAAATGATCTTAGATAAGAGAGGGATAGGAAGGAAGTCATAGAACTGCTACATTCAGTGAAGGAGAAAGGCATTGCCCAGAGAGCCATAACTAATGCCTGCCCCAGTGAAGAATGTCTAGCACATGGTGCTGGCTGACATGGCAAACAGGGCAATTTGTAGTTTGCCGTAAGCAATAGAATACTGGCTATATAAGCGTCACACAGGGACCATTCCTGTCTGACCATCCCCTTGCAGCTGTTAGACTCTGCCAAGGTGTTGTCTTCAGTTGCCATATCAGACAAAGAGATGTTATACTCGCCGCAGATACAGTGCTATCTTGCTTGATTACATTGTAAATAATGGTCCTGTTGCCTGTGACCATCTGCACCACTTTGGGCCCAAAGCAGGGGGGGCAGGGAGGATTGTGAGTCAAGGAAAGGTGGCTGGGGGGAGAAATTTTTAGGGACAGGTTCTCTCTTGGGAAAATGGCTGGCTTCAGAGAACAGGAATCTGAGAGTGGGAATATATGCCCCCCCTAAAGCAGGGGAGTATGCAGTGGGGTCCCCAGTCCTGGGATCTGCACTAGCACCCGTGGCATTTAATATTTTGGAAAAGATGCACATTCACAGGGCCAAGCCTGCAAAGGACATCAAATTATTTATGATGGCAAAGAGCAGAGAGCAAAGATTCCCAATGGGATAAAATAAAATTCTCCAGAAGTGGAAAATGATGCCTTGGGGGCCAAAAACCCATTTTAATTTTATTTTAAATGTTTATATCTGTAAGAGAGAGACAGAGGTTCCTGAAATATTGGACCAATGAAAACAAGACTTCTTCCCTTTCCCTTCCCAATGGCTCTGGGTAGGATTTGCAAATGTCCTCCCCCCCCCCATGTAATCCCACAATCTGTGCCAGTTTCTTCATCCTTATGTCCCACCTTCTCCTTTCAGTCTGGGATTACATACTATAGGGAACCAGGGGAAACCCTGTTCCCCCCTCCTCCCGGCTTTCTATGATGCATACATTCCTTGGTTGAGGTTTTTTTCTCCACTCCCATCCCGTCCTGCCCAAATTACAGTACTAATGAAAATAAAACCACAACAGATTCCACAACATTTTGTTGACGGTCCATACTTGAACAGCTGAATACTCTGGATGGGAAAGGTGAAACCATATATATGCTTAAAAACTAGCTCTAGAAGTTTCCAAATCAAAGCTTTGTATGAGTGCACAAAGCTGATCAGTGGGATAGACAGAGACCATAAAGTAGTAGCAGGTACTTTATCTCCATTTTGAGAATAAATAGGAATAGTTTAAAACACTTTTTATTCTGTCTGTTTGAAATATCAAACCATCATAAAAAGCCCAATCTTCTAAAAAAACGACATTCTGCCTCCCATGGTAGCAACTTATAAATAAAAAGGTTATCCGAGAAGACAAATTTTCCCATCACCTTATTGAATTACTGCTGTGTGTATTAATTTAATTTTCTGCAATCTATTGGAGAAAAGTAAATTGTTTTAGAGAAAAACAAGAGGAACAGATCTGTTTTGGAATGTAATCCTGTAGTAGTCAGGCATTCCATATCTGAATTCAATCAATTTAGTGTTTTAATTGCAATGTAAAAATGCTACATAACAATATTTGAAGTGAATATATACGACTGTTTTTATTCAGCAGTTGCCTCACAGCTAAAGAAAAAGTTTGAAATTGTTACCTTAAATCACTGTCTAATCATAATCTTGATCAAAATTAGTTGTCATTCTTTACTTTTATGTAGTTTATTGCCTATATTTCACAAGTACAAGCACCACATCTAGAGCAAATTAACGTCAATCCTTGGAAGACTCATTTAAGAGATGAAAACATCTGCCAATTCCTTTAATCATAACAAGTCAAACTAATGTTTGTATTTCACACACTGAAAACATATTGTTCTTTACCTTATGTTATAATTGATCTGGAATGAAAATCAGATTCTTATTTTGAAAGAATGGCTATCAAGTAGCACAGGTGCCAAAATGATTGTTATTTGACTAGCCAAGACATCCAGTCGTAAACATCTAAAGTGTGTATATCTGCTCAAAATGTTGAAGCATGCTACATTGAAGTGGGCTACATTTAGATCATTGTTCGGATCCCACAAAGTGTTTCTCCTGACTAAAGTATTTTCATTAGTCAATTGCTGTTTCCTCATCTCCACACTCTTGCTAACAGCCCAGTGCTATTCTTAGGGAGTATTTAGGGTGACAGCTGATTGAAATATACTTCCTTCAGTGGAAACTCTCCATGGAATTGATCTCAATCCTTTGCAGTGCTACAACACTCTACAAACTAAGCTTTTTGTTTATCAGGATCAGGCTGCAAGCTCCCCAAGTGTATTTATAGGTTTTAACACTATCCTAAGGTCAAAAAATGAAAATAGCGACCTGTATGAAAACTTACGTAACACTTGGTGATGAAGACGGTACTTTTTTCCTGTTGCTTTCTCCAGGAATATCAACCTAGCAAAGAGATAAGGAAAAATTAAATTATTTGTTCCTCTTATTAAAAATCAGAATTTTAAAATACAGACTTCATTGATTAATCTGCAGTTCCAACAGCAACCTCCATGTGGCAACATTCAATTACTAAGAATGCTTTGGTTGCTGATCATATCCCAATTATAACTCTTTGATTTGGTATTCTGGAGAACACAGTGTTCTATACCTTTTTTGTTCCTACTAGAATATTTCAATATAAACAGTCTTCTCTTGGCTGCATGTATGACTGGCAGAAATCAGAGCTGAGTGTAATTACATGCTGTTGCCTTTGGCACCTGCTCCTAATTGATATTACAGCCCATTATCTGCTAATGCAAGTCACAATAGTCAAAATTATTATGCAGACATATCCATTCCAGGGATTTGAGCTCCTATCTAGCCATCTGCTAGCCAAAAACAAACAAACATATGTCACAAATACTACTACTTCAGTCATACAAAAGTAAAATTTGGAGAAGGCAGGGAATAAATACAAATTATCCATGAACTTGGCCATTATAATTTAGTTAATGTCAAAAGCATAGCATCATTCAGAGCTGTGCTACAAATGGCTACAGAGGTCCTAGGATGACTTTTCCAAATATTTGCTGAAAAACAGTAACTGCAACTAGAGCCATATTTTGTATCATCCAGTACAGCGGCAGTTAAATTTACTCTTCTCTGGAAAACTGAAGTATACCCATAGGAGACTGCAGTTTTACTGCAGGTTCAGAGTTTGGACAGGGTCCTATTAAAGTATTAGAAATGTCTTAATTATTTTACTTTTACATATTGGGCTAAGCTCAAGTCTCACTTTGGAAAGAGTATCTGTGTCCCAATCTCTATAATACCTCTTATGTGCCTGACCAAAATATTTTAGGAACACTGAAGACATAATATCAAATGGTTGTAAGCAGACAATAATACCTGGTAGGAATATCACTTTAAAAACAGCAAGTCTATTTACCCATCCACTTGGAAGCCCATCAGAGGTAGGTGTGTGAACAACTACACCCCTGGGCCCAGCAGCAAAACTGACCTAGGTGGGGCCAGGGGCAGGAAGGTACCAACACTTGAAGGTCAATTTGTTATTTCAGATGATTCAGCTCCATAGCCATTATTGCTCTCAGTCCATAGCTTCATGTATAGTCTCATCTCTCCTTATATATAATTGAGTAGTGGTCCCACAATGTTCTATGCACTCCAAAATCAGTTGGCTCCGTGATGTGTCAATCACAAGGTGTCTCTATCCACTGGCTGTGTTGCCTGAGTTCTCTCCCACCCACTGCAGCCTAGGCCACTCTTCTCTGATTGGGCCAGCGTTTCAAGGTCATTTGCATATGGAAGCTGACTGGATTTCACTCCATTCTGCACCTCAAACTCCCTCCCCCCACAAGACAGTTGGAACTGTCAGTTGCATATAGGACCTGCTGTATTCTGAGGTAAAATATGTCCTCACTCACAACACATCACTTTCCCTTCAAAAGAAACAAACCCAATAATACAATCATGCCACACCACAAAAAAGACAGATCACACCACAAGGAGAATACCACAAGGCAAAAAATGATAGGAAAAGGTGCCAGCAGGGCTTCAGAGCACGGTGGGGGCTGCTGGTGGGGGGGAAATGGAAAGCTGATCAATGAGGGGGGAAGGTAGGCTGATGCTTGGCTGGGAAGTAGGTAGGGTTGCCAACTCCAGATGGGAAAATCCTGAAAATTTGAGAGATGGAGCCTGGAGAGGCTGAGGTTTGAGGAGGAGTGGGGCCTCAGACAGGTACAATGCCATAGACTCTGCCCTCCAAACCAGCCATTCCGTAATGGTGAACCACTGTTGCCAATCTTCAGGTGGGGGCTGGAGATCACTCAGAATTACAACTGCTCTCCAGATGGCATTGATCCGTTCCCCTGGAGAAAATGGTGGACTCTGTGTCCTTATACCCTGCTGAGGTTGCCATGGCAAACTGATTCTGAGTGCCCACGGACTTGGCACTCTCCCAGAGCCTCTTTCTAGCGCTCATTGTATTTATTTCCAGAATGGGCCTTATTCCTAGTGCTTATATAAAACTGCTGCCAATTCAATGGAGGAAACAGCTGCTAAGTGTGAAGCTGCTGCCTCCACTGAATACATGGAAATGTTGTGTGAGCATGCTAAGTCTTCTATACAGATACAAAACTGCTGAATTGGAGGAAAACAATTTATGCTTAAGTCCATGTATTTTGGATTAATGAAGTCACAAATCAAAGCACAAATGTCTAGGTCAGTACTGAGGGTATATGCCAGGGGTGGCCAAACTCTGGCTCGGGAGCCCAAATGGAGCTCTTTTACACATATTGTGCGGCTCCCAGCAGGGCAGCTGAGGAAGCATGCCGTAGGATTTCCAGGTCCCCTCGTCACTCTGGTGGGGGGATTTGGGGGGGAGAAGGAAGGAACGCCCCCAAGCCACCCCTCTCCTTCCCATCTATTTGCTTTCTTTGTTTCTCTCTCTCTCTCTCCCTTCCTTCCTCTGCCTCCTCCATCTATTTGCTTTCTTTGTTTTTCTCTCTATCTTCCCCCTTCCTTCCTTCCTCCCTCTCCCATCTATTTGCTTTCTTTCCACTTTTCTTTTTTTCTTCCTTCCTTCCCTCCCCATCTATTTGCTCTCTCTCTCTCTCTCTCTCTCTCTCTCTCTCTTTCTTTCCACCTCTTTCATTCTTTCTTTCCATCCCCTCTCTTTCTCTCTCTCTCTTAATACCATTAGCAAACAAATAAATATCATTGGACAAATAAATATCATTGTCAATATCTATTTTTATCCCTTTTGTTCTTATTTCCAGCAGTCCCATTTAATGTTAAGAAAAAGCAAATTTGCATATTTTTCAATAAAAATGTGTGTGTGATATTTGCTCATGTCTTGCGGCTCTCAAACATCTGACGTTTATTCTATGTGGCTCTTATGTTAAACAAGTTTGGCCACCCCTGGTTTATGTGGACTGGTGGATACAGAAGTTTGGTGTGCTCTCTTCTCCAGCAGTCCCTTCCAATCCCAAGAAAGTTTACTCCTAGGGTCACAAGACCCACATGAATGAACAGGGTGCAGGTCAGGGGACTTCGCTGAAGAGGGGGATGGGGTAGAATTGTCCCTCATTCCTCTTCCATCAGTGGAGCTCTGCTTGCAGAACAGGGAACATAAGAAGAGTCCTGCTGGATCAGACAAATAGTCCATCTAGTCCAGCATCCTATCTCACATGGTGGCCAGCCAGTTCCTCTGGATGGCCAACAACAGGGCTTAGAAGCTGAGGCCTTCCCCTGATGTTGCCTCCTGGCTCTGGGATTCAGAGGCTTAGTGCCTCTGAATGTGGAGGTTCCCCTCAGTCACCATGGCTAGCAGCCATTGATAGACTAATCTTCCATGAATCTATCTAATCCTCTTTTAAAGCCATCACTACATCCTCTGGTAGCAAAACACACATTTTTATCACTCTCTGTGTAAAATAGTATTTCCTTCTGTCTGTCCTGAAACCTACTGCCTACCAGCTTTATTGGATGCCCTTGAGTTTTAGTATTTTGGGAGAGGGAGTGATTTCTCCCGAGGAAAGCCTTCTCCAACTCACATGGCTGATAGTCCACAAAGGTCACACAGCCCTGGAAATCAACCTCCCTAGGCTCGAAAGCAACAGCTGAGTGGATGCAAATACTGTAAAGATCTGTTCTCCTGGCATTGATGGATCACTGGATCTAGCCTGTATTTTTAAGCTCTTAATTGCTGTTTATTCTAGATTCTCTTTTCCAACCAGATGAATATTTTATCAGTTATATACACAAAAACAGACGTCTAAATTTTTTAGAAAAGGAAATTGGAGGGAACAGATGTTGAATTCCCATTTCAAACAAAGAATATGTCAGAATTAAAATATTCCTAGACATATGTGAGCAGAAGAGTCTGAAACAAAAAGCACAGCTCTTCCACAGGTCCATATGGTTAACAAATTCCAGTATTCTCAGATGGAATGCTCTGACACATAAAACTCCTTGGAGCATTTTGTCTAGAGCCTTTGCTGTTCACTCTTAAAACAGAATGTGTGGCTTAGATATTTATAAGACTGAAAGGTAACTAACTAGTTTGCTATGGAGACCTATTTGCTAACTAGTTTGGCTATGGAGACCTAGTTGTTAGGTAGACAAATCTAATGTAACATACTTGTCAGAACAGGGCAGGAAGAAAGATAGTAATGCATTTATTCATGAAGAATTAATAAAGCTCTTATCCTGATATACTGTATTAAACCATGAAGAATTGCAGCACACTGCAAGAATTAGTAAAACTCTTTTCCTGACATATTGTTTTAATCCAGGAAGATAGTAATCTACCCAGCTGTTTCTAAGATTATCAGATTATTCCATGGATTCATGAATGTGGTGATATCTTAAAGCAGAATGTGCAGCATGCTGCAAGAATTAGTAAAGCTCTTATCTTTATATATCATGTTAATTCTATCTTAGCTTGAAGTCTTATGTGAGTAGCCATTTCTTGTTCCTCCTTGTTTTTCCCTAGTTGTTTAGACTCCTGCCTCTATAACATTTTTTTTCAAAAAGGTAGTGCCAGAATATATAAATACACTATAAAATTCCCTTGAATTTGTGTCATTTCTCATGGAATTCCCTTTGACATTTAGTGATGCTACATATTTTAGAATCCAGATTTTTGCAGTGAAAGAATTAGTAAATTAGTGTTAACTTCCAAGGAAACATACTGACCCACTCTTATTGGCTTAAGGATATCAGTGGAAAGCAACAGTCTTAAGGACAAAATCTAAAAGAAAAACTGCTAGGGTGAGAAACAGCACAACATGCTCCAGACTGATTTATGAGCACTCTTGAATTAAGTAAAGGATAGGTTCTCACTTAACTTTAAATTATCATGAAAATGATGCCCATAAACAGTCAGGCAGAGTTGCAAGATTAAGCAGGTTTACAGCACCTCACAAGCAAGTTGATATCTTCTTTGTGCACTCATACAAGATTTATGTACATGGCATGCTCAATAAAATGCACAGGGGAGAAATTAAATTAGAACTGGGATGTGCACACAGATGGAATGTGCTATATTTCACTAGAAGTGGCCTACTTACAATAACTTTGACAAAGCTGGCAGGAAAGATCCCTGTGCGATTTTTGCATTTTCCTCTGTACCACTCATCATCTATTTTCTTCAGAAGATAAACAGTCTCTCCAGAATTTAGGCCCAAATCATCAGGATCTTCTGTAGAGGAAAAAAAGGGGGTTTCTATTTGTTATTTTCAATGCCTAGTGCAGCAGGTGTTGCCAAGTAAAATCTATTTTACAAATCTCATTTAAGATGCAAAAACAAACATTCTCTCCCCCCTCCCCTAAAAACAACCCACAAAGGTTCTTGAGAGGTTTGGGAAGACAGCATGTTAGGATTTGAAGAAGGGCCTGTGATAAGTGAAACACAGTTCCCATTATACAGCACTGGAGTCTTCTCAGTCCTTCCAACAGCACCAGGGAAAGTATGTTTTTGCTGTATTCTCTAGGGATATATAACTGCCTGGCTCATAGAAAGGCCTTTCCAATAGCCTTGGAGATATCTAGCTAGCTACAAGTACTTTAAAGCAGCATATAGTTTCTAACAGTCATCTTGTCTGACAGGTACAATGAATTATTCCATTTTAAGGTGGTGAAGACCTCTGCCAGAAGCCTATTCAAACTGGGATCTCCCTAGGCTGAGAAGATGTTGCAGTGGTGGATCTATATGTGAACAATTTCTATGGAAATCTCATGAAAGGGACTCTGTTGCTATGGCTCTCTAATGCCGGGTATTCCTTTATTCATTCAGCTCTTTCATTTCTTGGTTTCTGTCTCTAGTTACAGAGTGCCTTTTTATTCCACCCTTCCTCTAAAGAGCTTGGGGCACTATTCTTAGTTCCTTCCTTCCCCTTTTTATCCTCAAAACTGATCTTGTGACCTAGGCTATGTTGAGATATGGGTGACATGCCCAAGATCACCTGAGGAGCTTCATGGTGAAGTGGGGTTTGAATTCAGGTCTCTCAGATCATAGTATGACACTCTTAATTATACCCCACTGGTATCTATAATACATTCGTTAAATATATACTGGATGCTGAACTCCCAAAGTTCCTTAAATCAAAGGTGGGCTGAAAAAGCATGAACAAACCATGAAGAAAACACAAAAAGTCAACAAACGGAAAATGACATCTTGAGGAAACACAGAGAAAAACTGCTGCATACTGGCATCCAAATAGTGGGGGAAGCCTCTATGTGAAAAGGCCCATTCTTTTTAAGCCTCTGCACTGTACTCATGCAGCAATAGCCTTAGCTATGTTTACCCTGATTGCTCAGACTATGTTAGTAAAAAGAAAATGAGAAGAGAAAATGAGAAGAGAATCAGCAAGTTGCAGCCTAGCAAAGCAGTCTTACACAATTATACCCTACTAAATCCATTGTCTTCAAAGACTCATTACACCTAGCATGCAATTTAACCTGAAAGATACGGATTGCCAAGTGATTCAGACAGGCCCTTAGCCAGGGATTTTTTTGTTCAGGGGGCAAGGTTTTTTGCTTGAGGGGCAGCCATTATGTGTCTATGCAGAACTACCGTGCTTATTTGTGAGTTATGACTAGTGATCTGTTTGTTTCTGTTTTATGAGTTAATGGAGAGGATGAGTGGCAGTGAAAGGAAGTAGTTATCTGCAAGTATTTATTTGCAAGTTATTCATATAACTTCAGCAAAGGCTAGGTACTTGGGTTTTATGTTATTGGGAGTGATAAAGGAAACCACCATGCCCAGATTCTATCTCTAGGTCTACAATAACTCTTTCTCTAGCTCAGCCATAGCAGAGGAAGCTGACCACAGCAGCCGTTCAACAGCAACCACAGTTGGAAGGCATGCTACAGGGCTGTTGCAAGGACTGCTGAGAGAATGCAAAGTGAAGTGCTACATTATTGGACAGATGCAGAAAAGCCCCGGAGGCTGGTGTACTAACTTTGAAAAAACCACCCAAGTGAGGAGCGAGCACAATGCAATGGAATGCTCTTGAGTTTGTTTGCAAGGGAAATGACATACCATGCTCCTGCTTCGTGGGGGTGGGGGGAGCCCAGCAGCACGATCTGTACAGGGCAGGCACTGCAGCCTCCTCCCGCAAAATCTCTGGGAACTCTTCTGCTGTCTCCATCCCTTGTCAAGCAGCCTGAAGGAGTGGAGGGAAGCCCGGAAGGGGGAGGAACACTGTCTGCATGGAAGCAAGCTCTGCTATAGCAGAGGAAGCTGACCACAGCAGCCCTTCAACAGCAACCGCAGTTGGGAGGCATGATATAGGGCTGTTGCAAGGATTGCTGAGAGAATGCAAAGTGAAGTGCTTTGACCATTTACTACATTATTAGGCAGATGCAGAGGAGCCCTGGGGGTTGGAATACTAACTTAAAAAAACACCACCACCCAAGTGAGCACAAGACAATGCAAATGCTCTTGAGTTTTTTTGCAAGGGGAATGACATACCACACTCCTGCTTCCTGGGGGGGAAAAGCAGGCCCCAATAGCATGAACTGGACAAGGAAGGCACTGCAGCCTCCGCCCACAAAACCCCTGGGACCTGTTCTGCCATTTCCATCCCCTGTCAAGCAGCCTGGAGGAGCAGAGAGAAACATAGAAGGGGGAAGGGGGAGGAGCACTGTCTGCACTGCAGCAAGCCCTGCTGATCAGGAGGAGGGCAATGCCAGGGCGGTGGTTGCCTGTGTTGCTTCTGCCAGCAGTGGCAGCAAATGGCACCCTGGCTCACTGGGCCGCAGAGCAGCAGCTGGAAGAGGGATGGCCGCTCCTCACCTCTATCCGACAATGATGCCAGCTTCTCCTTGGCTGGCCATGCCCACATCCACTTGGCCAACTCGGAGTGGGGCAAGGAGAGGCTGCAGGATGGGGAAACTACAGGTTCGATAGGGGGTGCCGCCCCCAATGACCCACCACTGGCTATGGGCCTGGATTCAGATTACAATAGTTTGTTCTCCAAGGAAAAAGAAAGCAAAACTTTATTTCGCAATTACATGGTTATTGCGAATCCATACTCACCTGCTAGAAAATCATGCAGGACTACAGCATGAGGAACACTTGTGTCAGAGATCGTCTGCGTATTGTCTGAATCCTTAAAAACAAAATAGATTTGCATATTATGATGCCTAATGTATTTTGCTGGGAAGCTACTTTTCTGTTTGGAGCAGCCACCACAGATTTAAATAAATCCTTCACTGATTTAGTTTAGGTTAGTTTATTATTATTATGGTCTTAAGACCAGCATACAGATTTATTATTCTAAATGCCAGCTTCAAGGAATCTGCCTGCTACTCATGAAATGTAGGCCTGATTCTTTTCTCAGTTAATCCTGATTTAATACTGCCTGATCTCATAAAAAATCAATGGTCTTAAACCAGCATAGTACGTACATCAACAGGAAAAAAATCAAGTCTTTGGAAACTGCTGCAGCTACTTTGTTACTGTAAATGAGATGTGTGTCAGCTTTTTCACATTTGGGACATTTCCCAATTCTCAGAGGTGTTGACCCTTTAATACTATCCGCAATTTCAATTCTTATTGGAGACTTAGCACAAGTTAGTGTCTATATATGTATTATAGGTAAGTCCTGCTAGTACATCTCTGAACGCGCAATCATAAAATTGCTCCAAAATTATGAAATGTTAAACAGTTCCATACTTATGTCAGCAACACATCAACTGTTACTTCAGTGCAATCTTGAACTATGTTTTGTCCTGGTGATTTAAAAGAAAAGACTGACTGTACTATAGAAAAAACATTGACTGTACTATAGAAATTAGTATTAAGATATGTGGACCATGTCACTCTATTGTAGCTACTTTCTGTTCAATTTTTGTTATGCAATTTTTGCATAAAACATTAATACATACTTTCTCTCTGTTCCTTGAACTCTCATCTATTGGTGTTATTATCTCCACCTGGGATAATCTCACTTTGCCAGTTTCTTCTCCCCTTTGGCATTCAATGTAATTGCTGTCAATATGGTCCACAAGGACAAGGACATCACCGCGCTTTAAAATACAAAATCACTGTAAGGCAGATTATTTAACTTCCATGTGTATATCTACAAGCACCCAGAAGAAAGAAAACTGCTTTACCTTGCAGGAAAGGCCTCCAGTATTTTTAGGAGAAATATCTTCCTTGGCAATTCCATGGGGCACAGGAAGCTTAAGATAAAGTATTTGTATTTTATTAAAACAAACGATCTCTACCAAATGCCAACAAAATCTACCATATAACTTAATCGGAACACCAGAAATAAATATTTACACATTAGATGTTAGTGCTTACAAAGTCAGACAATCTATCCAGTACTGCCTATTGCAAAGGGTTTCAACCCCTCACCTTATGAAACACATTTTTATTCTACAGCTACAGTACACTGGTGTCGTTCCTCACCATATATTTACTGTAGAGAGGATGACCTGGTTTAGGCCGAGGAGGTAATGCTGGATCTTGATTTTTATTGATCTGACTCTTTGCCCTCTTAACTCCTAATCCAAACATGCTGTGTTTTTTGTGGAGGATTGTGTCAGATGATGAGCGACAAAAATTGTCCGTTCTTGATGAGGGCTTAGTCTTAGTGTTCTTTGGTGGTGGTGGCCTTCCTGGGGCACCCTTAGGGGGAGGAGGTCGAGCTGGTATGTTTTTCCCCTCAACAGGCCTAGAAGATAATCAAGTGATAAAAAAATTACAGTCATGTAAGAAAAGCATATTGAAAACAGTTATGTAGACAAATAATGTAGACTTTGGTTACTGGAAATTTCTAAAAAACCCAAGAGCTTCAGATACTTGGGGAACTGGGGAATCAATATGGTCTTACTCAGTAGCATTTAGAACTCCATTCCTGTTGACCAGTTTCCCAATTATAGTCTGCTACAAAAAAACCTCAGGTCAGCAAGCCATCATTAAACAGGTTTGTTTGAGTTTATTGATGATGAAGGATGTACAGTGGCTAAGATGCCTGAAGTGAAAGGGTTGCTGAGCCAGGACAGAATTTTTTTAAAAAAATATATTTTATTGAAAGTAATAAACATGAATACATTTTAAAATGTCACCAAACTATAGATGTCATTAAAACTTTGAATTAAAAGACAAAGTAACAAATATCATATTACAATAATTGTGTCTAAACTTTTAATGAAAGATATTCCAAAAAAGGAAACCATACTGAAATAAATGTTGACTGATATTCCTCCCTATTTCTTTGCACTAAATACTTTGATATTTTATCTCCTATACAGAGTTCACACATCTTAGATATCTAGTCAGAAATCAATAATGGTTTAGAGCTCCTCCATGATTTAGCTATTGTTAATCTAGCTGCTGCAAATAAGTTTCCTAAGAGAGTTTTGTCGTTTATTTTTGGAGACTTGTTTCCTCCATAGGTTAAGCACTAGTGTACTTTGATCTAGAGATATTTCGTAGTTAGTTATTTGATAGATAACAAAAAGTGATAACCTTTCCAAAAAATTTGCACTTTTTAAAATGACCACCAGGTATGCCAGTATGTACTTTCCCCCCACAACCCTGCCAAGAAGAAGACGACGAAGAGATTGGATTTATACCCTGCCCTTCACTACCCAAAGGAGTCTCAGAGCGGTTTACAAGCTCCTTTCCCTTCCCCTCCCTACAACAGACACCCTGTGAGGTAGGTGGGGCTGAGAGCGCTCTGACAGAAACTGCTCTTTTTAAAGGACAGCTCTTATCAGAACTATGGCTTGTCCAAGGTCATCCAGCAGGTGCAAGCAGAGGAGTGGGGAATCAAACCCGGGCCTCCCAGATTAGAGTCCGCGCACTTAACCACTACACCAAACTGGCCAACACATAGGAGATGCTTCTTTTGTCATACAATGGATTTTTAAGGGTGTTAAGTACCATCTAGATAATACCTTAAATAGTTGGGTCTTAACAAATATGTTTTTAGATTGAAATGTTGCAGAGGTCCAGAGTTTTTGCCACTCTTGTAGAATGATTAAAACAGTACAGTCTTTATTCCAATGGGATACATATGATGGCGGTGTGGTATTCATGGATTGCAATAGTACTGAATATAAAATAGATATGTAACGTTTATAACACAAAGGTTTTATTTTTAATAATTGCTCAAATTCTGTTAGTGGTCTTGCAATACATTCCTTGAAAGAAGGTTGGTTTAATAAATGTCTAAGTTGTAAATGTACATACCATGGCAAAGGCTCCTCTAGCATAGAATCTATTTTTATCGTATCTAGCAATTTTTCACAATGTCAGTTATTCTAACCAGATTATGTTTGCGAAGTAATGTAAAAGAACTTTTTTATCTTGCAGGTAAAAACCATTGTTGTCTCACAAAAACTGTGAGAGGAGAAATAGAAGGAACTTTTTTTTTTGCACTTACATTCCCAAACTTTCAATGTGTTCAATAAAAATGGATTTTGATTCAATTCTACTGGTCTTTCCACTCTTGTCCCAAATTAATTCTTGTAGAGTTTTCTTAGGGAAGAATGCTTGTTCTATTATACACCAATCTGGAGCTGTATATATGTTCAGCATTTTGACCAGGTTTCTTAATTGTGCCGCATCATGATAAAGCAACAGATTAGGGTATGCCATTCCATCCTCCTTAGTTTGTCCATATAGTGTGTTAAATGATACCCTAGCTGTTTTATAGTTACAAATAAATTGGTTCAATATTGATTGCCATGATTTGATTGTTGATAAAGGACTGAATACAGGGATTGTTTGGAATAAAAAATATATTTCGGTAGTATAAAATTTTTTATAATGTCAGTTTTGATCAATCATAAAGTTGATTTTTAATTAGTTTTTGTACTATGCCAAAGTTTTCATTAAAAAGATTCTCTAAGCTTACTGGGATCTCTATGCCCAAATGACACCAGTTTTCTCTGCGTTAACTCTAACAGGTGATGCTAGTGGTTCCAAGCACAAGACAAACAGCAGGGGTGACAGTGGACACCCCTGTCTAGTGCCTTTCATGGGGCTAAAAAATTCAGAAAAGGAACCATTAATTTTTAATCGAGTTTGTGGCAAGTTATATAGGGTTGAAATACCTGTGCGAAATCCTTTGCCAAAATTCATATAGTCCAATAGTTGGTGTAAACAGGATGGCTGTACGGAATCGAATGCCTCTTCTACATCCAACGAGAGAAGAATTGAAGTTATTTCTTTTTGTCTGCAGTAATTAATTATATTAAGAGATTTTCTAACATTATCAGCCATATTGTATTGTGGGATAAATCCCCTTTTGATCGCTATTAATGTAATTATGAATAATTTGACCCAATCTTGTTGCTAATACAGCTGAAAATATATATCTTGATTTAATAAATTTAATGGGCAATATGACCTAGGATCTGTTTTGTCTTTCCCTGGTTTAGGAATAAGTATAATTATTGCATCATTCCATGTTTTTGGCATTACACCAGACTTCAATATTTCATTACAGCTTTCTGTTAATGAACTCACTATTAAATGTTTGTATGCCTTATAAAATTCTCTCGCAAACCCGTCATTACCCGGTGTTTTGTAATTTATAAAAAAAAATTAATAACATGTTCTACCTCACTTGATATAATAGGAGCATCTAAGAAATCTTTGTGTAAGGGATGAGGACCAAATAAGCCTATAATTTGGTAAGTCCTGACGTTTGGGAGAGAGTCATAAGTTTGGCAGGACCTTACCTGGCAGGGAGGGGGATATAGATTGGTTGTGGTAATTGCCAGCCGCTGCAAGGTTCTGTTATCTGAAGGGAGTCCAGGGAGCTTCTGTTGCTGTTTTTCTCTTCCTTTGGCTTGGGCTAGCACTGTTGCTAACTTTGCAGGAGGCACCAGAGTATGTTTGGCGTTGAAGTGGTAAGCTGCCTCCGAAGATGGAATCAACTCCTGTTCTGTTATGACTTTGCTACAGAGCTTGTCATGAGGACTTAATCTGTAAGAAGCTGCAACCTCCCTTTTAAGAACTGTTAGCCTATCCTGGCACTTTAATGTTTTATTGCCAATTGCTCAGATGCTGGATGATTTTCTGGAGTGCATACATCCTGTGAGTTTAAATGTTTTTACTCAATTAAATGAAATAGTTTTTTAAAAAAATATTTTGGCTGCATGCTGAGAATTTCTTTTTCTGCTGATGAGCTGTAAATTTACCCACTGAAGTGAACCTCAAAGTCAGTTGGACCTGATATGGTGGCAGCAGTTGTAAAAGGATTGTAGAATGTAATCAGTAGCACCAGCTGAATGTTGTGATAATATTTTAAAGAAAGTACAGCAATAAGTTTTTCCGCCTCCTCTTTTTTAATAAAAAGAAAGAAAAAGAGGGAATAAGCCAGGACGAGAAGCCAGTGATTGGCACCAATGACTCTCACTTTGAAGTTGATTTGATGAAAGAAGTAGAAACATTTGGCGGTCCCACACTATCTCCTGCAGAGTCTCATGGTTCAGGCCTACTCTTAGAAGAGGCCTGGAGAGCTGCTACTGTATGTTTCAGGGATTATAATGAGGTTGTCTCCAGATGAAAGGACACCTTATGCTTTGAAAATTATGGCAAGGACAGGCACAAATTGGAAGACTTGGCAAAGAACATTAAATGTAGCTAAGGCTTTGCTTGAATATTTTGGCAATTATGGAATGGCACAGATCATAACCTCGGATAGGGGAACATAATTTGTTAACAAATTAGTGCAAAAGCTCTATGAAATTGCTGGTATAAACAAGAAACTGAGTACTACATATGATATGCAATCCCACGGATAGAGTGAACATTGGGGTGGAACATTGGTATGGATGATAAAAGCCTTTTGCAATGAGCGACAAAGATATTGGGATCAATGCCTAAAGAGAAGCCCCATATCCATTCTTTAAGAGGGTTCCTCCCCCAAAGAAGTGGTTTTTGGAAGAAAACTGCCAGGTGTTCTAAGCCTGTTAAGGAGAAATTGGGAGGGAGGGAGCCCATCGGAGGTTCCCATATCAGTAACTCAATTCTTTGCTAACTGACAAGAGAACTTGAAAAAAGTGCATGACATCGCTCAGAAGGCATTAATTGAGGAGTGGGGTAAACAGAAGAAGTATTTTGACAGGGCAGCCAGACCTTGTACACAGCAAAAAGGAGACCTGGCCTTGGTGTTAAAACCGAGAACTGTGGGAAACTTAGATTTGCACTGGCTTGGGCCTTATGAGGTAGTGGAGTGTTGTGCAGACAATAATGATAAAATCTATGATCAAGGGGCATTTTATTACTCCACATTAATCGCTTAAAAAAACTGTACCCAGAGTGGAAAAGCATTTCTCTACAGACGTCTGGCCAAAGCAAGATTTTGAAGTGCCCAATTTGTTAACAGGGAGCCAATGACCAGATGGCCTGGTTCAATTGCCACTGGGGTAAAAATGTAATTGCCCAAAAATCTAGTGAATTTCTTAGCCTTGTTAGGAAATATGAAAAAGTGTTTACCAATCAGTCAGGTCTGACAGACCTAATTAAACATGATCTTGATATCAGAAATGCTGAGCCAGTAAAATCATCTAGTCTCTCAATTCATGGGCCTTTGCGTCAGGTAGTTCAAGAAGAAATCCAACAAATACTGGAAATGGGTATTATTGAACCAACCTCTTCTCCATGGTCTAGCAACTTAGTCATAGTACCCAAGAAGAGGCTGAATGAGGCAGATCCCTTACAGTACAGACTGTGTAGATTATAGAAAATTTAATAAGCTCTGTAAAGTGGATCAGTGTCGAACCCCAAATATAGAAGAAATTTTGGAGAGATCGGCTCATGCAAAGTATATATCCATATATATATACACAGAGAGAGAGAGAGAGAGAGACACACACACATATACATACACACGACAGGGCTCTTTTTGTAGCAGGAACTCCTTTGCATATTAGGCGACACACCCTTAATGTAGCCAATCCTCCAAGAGCTTACAGTAGCCCCTGTAAGAAGAGCTCTGTAAGCTCTTGGAGGATTGGCTACATTAGGGGTGTGTTGCCTAATATGCAAAGGAGTTCCTGCTACAAAAGAGCCATATATATCTATAAATCTAATAGCCAAGGTACACCCTGCGTGCGGATATCTAAATCCGCACATCGGGGGCACCTAGGGGGCAAAGAGATTTTCCTGCACATTTGGAGCAATCCCCAGATTTCTATTTAGGACATCAAATGGGGGGGGGGAATCGAATCCCATCAGGTAAAGGTGGAGGCTATCATTAAATGGCCAATCCCGATAATGAAGAAGCAGATCCTAAGTTTTCTGGGAGCATGTGGGTTTTATCTTTGGTTCATACCAGGATTTAGTGAGTTAGCTGCCCCGCTCACAGATTTATGTAAAATGAACACTCCCATCAGAGGCCTGATTGCCAACAAGCTTTTAAGGCCTTAAAACAACATTTGACTCAAGCTCCCATTTTAAGATCCCCGGACTACAAACAACCTTTTACAATAAGAACAGATGCATTTAAAAATGGGTTGGGGGTGGTTCTCATGCAAAGGGACCTCAGTGGGTATCTTCATTCAGTGGTACATCTCGGCCACAAGATGCTACCAAGGGAGAAAATATAACAGTGTTACGGAATAGGAATCATTAGCCTTGGTATGGGGACTGAATAAGCTCAAAACATGTCCAAGGGGAGAGCATCTGAATCTCGAAATAGATCATAATCCATTGACATTTATGCACAAAATGAAGGAGAACAATTCTAGAGTCTTAAGGTGGGCATTAAGCCTCCAAGACTTCTCCTGCAATGTGATACATGTAAAAGGGAAAGACAACACCCTGGCTGATTCCCTATCTAGATGTTATGAAGAGCTTGACTGAAAGTTTGGAGCTAATATATCCCCATTCGGTCTAATCAGCTGTGAAGGCTTAATAATATCCTCCAGGTATTCATTGGAGGATAAATGGCCAAGAATCTGGCAAGTGAACATTATGATCCCATCAGCATGGTTTATTCTCCAGACTGATGGAGTGGGTGAGGTGTAAGGGATGAGGGCCAAATAAGCCTACAATTTGATAAGCCCTGACGTTTGGGAGACAGTCATAAATTTGGCAGGACCTTACCTGGCAGGGAGGAGGATAGAGATTGGTTGTGGTAACTGCAGGCAGCTGCAAGGTTCTATTATCTGAAGAGAGTGACACCAGTCCAGGGAGCTTCTGTTGCTGTTTTTCTCGTCCTTTGGCTTGGGCTACCACTGCTGCTAACTTTGCAGGAGGGACCAGAGTATGTTTGGCGTTGAAGTGGTAAACTGCCTCCGAAGATGGAATTGACCTGTTCTATTATGACTTTGCTACAGAGCTTGTTATGAGGACTTAATCTGTAAGAAACTGCAACCTCCCTTTTAAGAATTGTTAGCCTATCTTGCCACTTGAACGTTTCATTGCCAATTACACAGATGTTGGATGATTTTCTGGACTTTATGCATCCTGTGAATTTAAATGTTTTTATTCAATTCAATATTTTAAAATATATTTTGGCTGCATTCCGAGAGTTTTTCTGCTGAGCTGTAAACTTACCCGCAAGGTCAGTCGGACCTGATAGTGTTTGAATTTGAGAATCTCATCTTTTTTTATTTAAATATGTTTTGATTTTTGTGAGATTTGGAGATGTGATATAATTTTTTATAATAGTGTAGGAATGCCTGTAAAATTTGATCTGTATTGGTACAAAAGTTTCCTTGTTCATTTTTTATCACTGAGATTGGGGAGTATATATTATTTTTAATCCTACATGCTAGAAGTTTCAAATACTTGGGTGATTTGATCCATTTTTCCTGTTTAAACTGTAATATATTTTGTTTTATTTGAGAAAGCTCAAGATTCTCTAAGTTTTGTCTTTCTAATTGTAGCCTTTGATATATATTTTTACTAGTTGTTTTCTTGTGTATCTCTTCTCTTTATTTTTTTAAGTAGTTCTAAACGTAGTAACTCTTCTTGTTTCTTGTTATATGTTGCAAGTGAAATAAAATACCCCCTTAACACTGCTTTTAGGGCATCCCACACTGTTGCTTGTGGAACTCCAGTTAGTTATTTTTAAAGTATCATTGGATGACTAGATCTATTTCAATTTATATATAATCATTTAAAAGTATTTACAGATATAGCTTCCATTGGTAAAGTATAAAATTGGATGCTGCCCATT